AGGTGTGATACTATGTATCACCAATACACCATTCTGCCTTGTTAGATACGTCCTGTCTAGCACTATGCGCGTGGTGCGTTCATTGGAGGGGTACAACTTAACACCAAGTCTGTCATTTGAAGATCGCAGAGCAGTTGAGCAAGTGATCTCAGCAGCGCTTGCCGATCTGGGTGGTGTGTACAAGGGGAACTACTACGGCCTACCTGGCAGCGAAAGCTATAGTGGTACCGAGCTCGGTCGAGACGAGGAGGCTCGGCTGAAGGAGGAAGGCATCCTACTGCCCGAGCCTGCCTCTACGATCGTCCTGTCCTCGGGGATAGGTCGACACTGGCCTGATGGTCGCGGGATATACTATAACGACACGAGGGATGTCTACGTATGGGTTAATAACAGCGATCACATGGAGATCTCTGCAAAGGCTCAAGGAGATGCCGTGAAGGAGACCTTTGGAAAACTGATGGGTATGGTTGGTGATGTAGAGAAAACACTACAGCGTCAAGGTAGCCGCGGCTTCGCCCATGATGAGCATTTTGGGTACCTGTCAACCTGCCCTAGCAATCTTGGTACGGGTCTCAGGATCCTACTGGAGATGCGCTTACCCAATCTGATGAATCGATCTGAGTTCCGAGATATCCTCAGAGTACTCGGGCTGCGAATGTTCGTCACTGAGCCCGACAGTACTGTGTGCTGCATTGAAAATACTCAGAGAGCTGGTCGAACCGAGGTGGAGCTCACGAATGCCTTCATAGAGTCGTGTAGAAAATTGGTGACGTTAGAAAGCTGCCTCGAAAGAGGCTCTAATGTGGAGGATGAGATGAAAACCATGTTAGCGAATGCTTAGCTCGAGTGTTTCTGTTTATCGTCAACAGATTGTTGTTGTTGAAGGGGTATATGTCTGTAGTAGAAAGGGTGTATGGCAACGTCTGGGTATCTCCGCCGTGCATTTCTCAAAGCGGACGTTGTCACTCCGTTGATGGGCGGCCTCAGCTTGGCTGTTGCCGGTGAGCCTCCTGTGATGGGTGGGGCAGGAGAGGTTTGCTC